TCTTTTTCGTGAAAGTTTAAGTTATTTCGTATTAAAAAATATATATATATCGAATTTTATCGATATGGGATAAGGTAATGTAATATTTTATATTACATTTTTTTTTCTTATTTCTCAAATCCGAGTGTATATTCATTATCAATAATAAAAATAATTATCCAATAAGTGCGTATGTATTACGTAAGGTTATAGAGCGATCAATGTAAGAAAAATTTACGACGATATAATGATATCCTTGCATCCGTTAAAAGGACGCTCCGTCGACAAATTACTCGTGCAATAAATTTACGATTAATTTACTTAATATTATGCAAATACCCTGGGAACGCGTATGAGAATATCCCGTTTTCAATCTTTACAATAAACGTACAAATATAACTTGTATTGTACACCATTGTTTTTTAAGCAAACGTGAATGCTTTAACCTTGTAGTTAATACGAAATTTCCATCGAGTCCAATTAAAATTTTACCATTTTTAATTCCAATCTCTAATAAATTTAATACTTTTTCTCCTTTTCGAGAAGAAAGAAAATAAAGCTTAATTTCCAATTTTATCTTTTAAAAGTCGAATAATAAATTTTAAAATAATTAAACAAAAATTTCAATTAATTCGTTACATCTGTTACGATAATTGAAAAATGCTAGCAATTAACAAGAGAAGATACTTATTAAGAGATCTAATTTCTATTTTCTCAACAGGAAGTGGAGGAATCGTGGATTTTACCAAGATGTCGACAAAGGCCCGTCAGAGATAAGCCTTTCGAACTACTTGTTTCAGGCAAGTGGATTCCTGACGAGTCGATTCCTTTGTGATATGAAAGTACTCGGCAGGAGAGAGCTTATTTGCATTCGATAACAACCGGGCCGAACGGTTAAAAACAGGATCGCACCTTCGAACCAAGTGGATACCAACTCTCCTGACTATTCGACTGTGAAGACGGATTTCTATCGATTTCGTGCATCTGAAATTTCATGATCACTGTATGAAAGTTTCGATTTAATTTTTTAAAACGAATATAATTATAATTTGTTTTAAAAGGAAAATATGTAATGTATTTTTTGAAAAAATGAAATTTTGTTTAAAATCAATAATGTTGAATTGGAATTTAGAATTTAGAATTATTTTTAAGATTATAAAAATATTTATGTACAATTGATATTAAAAATTATGTAGAAATTTTATACATAATTTAAAATTTTGAAAATATTTTTAGAATTCTTTTAAAAATTTTGAGAAATTATACATCAGCTTCTATATTTTTGTTATTAATTACACACTATCGAGGGTAACGATGTATAATACTATAAAACACGTAATAAAATAATTCCATTGTTCAGTAAATAAACTACATTGAAATAATTATTGAAATAAACCTGCAATACTCTGGACGATTCTGCATTGTCAAGGTTCTAACAACTTCTTGGCTGATGTAATTGGATAAGAATTTCGCAGGATAATTTACAATATATACGATTTGTACATAAGACGATTATCTACATTCTATCTTACCTCTGCACGGCGCCATATTGGGAAAATCTTCATTTTCCACTTACGGTTAAATTATTTTACCAGAGAAATCATTAAACGATGAACTAGATAACTAAATGAGTAAGACAAGATCCACATTGTAATGAATCCAATCATCCTCTTGATTAAATACAACATCTGAATAAATTAAAACAAAATTATTTTACAATAACATCAGGTCTACGTCAAAAAATATTTAAAATTATTTTCTTGATTACAATTAAGAAAAAGAATAGAACAACAATCAATCGTACAAAAATTATACGAAATTGAAAATAAATTGTAATCGATTAATTTATAATTATACGAATGAATACTATGGAAAATTTTACATAAATATCTGAAATGTCACGTATTACGTACCACATTAAGGAACGTGTACAGACCTTAATTGCGTTTGCTAGAGAAAGGTGAGGAGTAATTCATTGAACGTAAATTTGTATTACAAAAGACGTATGGTGTACCGTATAATTTCTCTTATCGCGAATTTATTATTGAATTTATCAACGAATCGAGCACGTATCTTAATTAAAACCAATTATAAATTCTCCATGAAGCGAACAATTCCTCCTCCTGTTTGAATGAAAGGGCGCGAAATTTGTATAAATAAATTACGAGAAATTTCACAGACAGGTACACAATTAAAAGCAATTTCATGTTTCGTAAGCTGTTCAAGTTGCTGCTCGATGCAATTTCACGTGTACGCAAGGACGCCACAGGTTTAAAGGAAGCAATTAGATTTGAAGAGGAAGGACGAAGGTTTTTTTAATAAGTCTTTTTTTCTTTTTTATCTTTTTTCATAACGGTACACTCGAAGGACGCCTGTCGTTGCGAAATTATTAGGTCTCATCGTTGCAGAATGTCCCTTCTTCTAACGCAATTGGAATTTCTTCTTTCCTTATTTCCTGCTGTCTAGGAACACCTGCTAGAGAAAGTATTGGAATTTCATAAAATTATTTCCTATTTATTTCGAATCGCAATAAAATTATATCAAACAATTATAATTAGAATTAAATTGGACACAGAATTAAAGTGTTGTAAATATTGAAAAGAAAATTTGAAATATTGTTATGATAAAATTATCATTATATAAAATTATCTATTATTTTTTTGATAAACAATATCATTTCGAAGCTTCGTTTCGATTTTGAGTTGAAAAATTTCTAATCCTTCCAGATACTTATGTAATTCAATAATATTTTCAAAATTAAATAATATATTTTCAATTCTAATTTTATCTTCCTATATAATCTATCTATTTTAATTTACTAATACTTTACTTCCTGTGCTACGTTCTAACCTCTTCAATTTCAAATTTACACCCGTTAATTCAAATTTTATTTGCCAAATTCTTCTACTTGTACGCTCGACGATCTTCAACGATCGTCAAAGAGGAAAAGAGATCTTTGAAAAAAAAAAAAAAGAAGAAAGAAGAAAAAAACATCGAACTAATTTCACTTTTGACTCGGTTTCCCTTTACACGTTTCTTCAATTACACACCGATGGATTCGTTCTCGTCCCCCTTCCTCCCTCCCCACCCTGGGTTAAACCCTACCTTATTAAATCGTCGCCTGGTACACACACGGTCGAAATCGGGTTTTACGTAATCGATCCACCTCCGAACGCATTTCGCCTCTTCGCATTCCGACGTTGGTAGCACCCGTGATGTCCGTTTCGTGGAGAGCCCTGTTCTCTCTGCCTTCCACTTTCTCCACAATTACGTCACACGCCATGACACCCCATTTCCACAGCCGCGGGTTGCTTTCAGCGCCGCCACAGGCGCGCGCATAAATACCCGGTGAATTATATTTCTCGTCCATCCGGTCCGGCTTCGAATATTAGCGCCAATAAGGAAAGTATTGACTTTTTAGGAAACGTGTTATTTCGTTATTTTGAAACGTAACGATCGGTGGAGAAGGATGGATGGACGGATGGATAGATGGAAATTTTTGTACGAGAAGGATTAAGAGCGAAAGTGTATCGCATGATTAAATTTTCATTTTCAATTTGTTCTAGAAAATTATCTTTGATGATATTTTTTTGATAATATTTAAATAAAATGATGAATATACGAAGCGGAAGATCAATTGGAGGGATTATTCGATTTCGAAGATTTATTTTTATTTTAATAAATTTTCCATCTACTCTGTATCTTTACTGTGTATGTCCTTTTGAAATATTCTGTAACAAATATCGTCTCGTTGGATTAAGGTTTAATAACGAGAAAGAATTATATCCAGGATTTATCGTAATAAATTTTCGATCTACGGTATGATATTCGTATAATAAAATCTGTAACTATTGAAAGATAAGTACGTACCGTCAAAGCCGATTTGATTTACATCGAATATTTCACAATAATCATTCGATAAACGATCTTCTTCCCATGTTATTTATATACATTTTATACTTCTTCGATTTCTCGTCCAACATTTCCTGAGAGAAATTTAAAATATCCTCCGATAAACATCATTAATTCGTCGAATCGAAATTTAATATTCATAAAAATTTATTTTCAATTAATTTTTTTCACTCTACAAAATACAAGCATAAGTTAACTTATCATTAAAATTCTCAACTCACCCTCGAGTATTACATAATTTTAATCCTTCTTATACTTTTATTTCTTTCTTTCTTTCTTTCTTTCTTTCTTTTTTTACGAAATCAAGTTTTAACTAGTTTCTCTTTCCACCATTGTCACTCGACCATCAATCAACACTCTCTATTCATCCTATATCGGCGCTATCGGTGTTAATCCACCGTTATTTTAACGATACAAAAACTTTCGCACAGTCATTTAAAAGTAATCGTGATCTCGTCTTACGTCACTGCGTAATTCGAACTATTGTAAAATTATTCGATCACGAAGGATACGCACGGAAAGGTACGTGTCAGGCCTTGAATCGTGAAATTACGCTCGTTTGTGATCTAATAGGATCGCTTAGATCGTCGGGCAAATGGAAAAAGGAGAGAAAGAACAATTATTTCACTGTCACCGGATGCCCGTTTCGAACAAACGACTTCTTAAATCTTCCAGTGTCATAAATACCCTCAGGTGTTATATCATTGACGATGATGCGAGGATAGGAATTTATTCGGAGAAAATTTGAAATTATTTTTAACGATGGATATTTCTGGAATAATTCTATTCTTCTTGGAAATGTTCTCTTTCATTGTAATGAATATCATTGGAATATCTAGAACAAATCAAAACAATTTATTTTAATTCTTTAATTAATAATTTATAAATGTGTAAATCCAAACATGTGAGAGAATTAATTATCAATTTAAAACTTGAACGTAAGTTGAATAGTATTTTATAATTTCGTTAATTAGAAAATAAAATATTACTACATAAATGTTTTAATTAATTTGCATTAAAAGAAAGAATGATAAGCTATCGGATATCTTTTTTTTAAGACGCGCGTATAATTTTCTCTCGCAAACACGTGTGCATAAATTTTTTCCCCGTGCATAATACTTGTTTAATTCTCTCGGATCGATTTCAGTTTTCTTTCCACAGAGTCGATTAACCGCAGAGATTATTACGCACGTGTGTGAATACGCATCTCTGAAACGTCAATATATTTGCGAACTTAATCGACGTTAACCGATGGGGGGAAGTAAGTATTAAAACAAAAGTACGCGGAAGGAATCCAGTTTTCAATGAGGTATCATAGGCAGGAAAGAAAGTTGCCTCGAATCGTACACATAGTATCTTTAGTACCACCTTAAAAGTGGTAAAACAAACAACCAAGCTTTTTGTCCAGTGGATGATGTCGACATGTCCATGTTCGATCGAGATAACGAAAAACGATCTTGATCTTCCCTAAATACTTTCTATGGATCGAGGAAGTAAAAGTGTAACTGTTTGACAAACTGTATTTACGCGCGGAGAGTGACAAAAATGATACTTGTTCGCGTGTAAAATGTACTATGACATACTTTGATGTACTTTGATTCTTCGAGAATTTGTTTCTTTGGCTCATTAAAATTTTAAATTTGTTAAATAGCTGGATATTGTATAATTAGTCGTATTATATAATTTTATCATTTTTATATTAGAAAAATAAAAAAACAAAAGAAAAAATAAGTAAGTCACTGTACATTTCTAATCTGTTATCTAAATAAATTAATATATTTTTACTAATTGCATAAACAAAAAGTCTGAAATCAAAATAGTCAATTTGACTAGTTAATTCCAGACTTAATATTATTGTGTAGTATTACAATCAAACATTCAAAATTTGTACAAAATTTTAAAAATCTTTTTATTCTTATTTGTAAACTCGTCCAAAGTCTTAATCGATCCAAGTCAAATTTCCAATCGAAAAAGGATCAACTTTTCCCGAAAATGGACATTGATCATTCGCCAAAAATTGTTCGAATAATTCATCAATGGTGATTAATCAAATCGTTTAGCGGAGACGTGACACAGTGAGATGTATGTATTTGCATAATTCATGAGCTTGCGATATGGTGAAGCATCGATGCACCGTTTTGGTAGAGGGACAGACGCCATTAAGGAACAATAGCTGTAGATAAATGGCGAAAGTTGGCGTTGACAAAACGTGTGGACATCCGTGTCCATTTGCATGAAAAATATATTTGATGTAAGTTTTACTTGTATGCAAACGTTTGGACGTTTATTTAATTAAACGATTTATTTTTGCTGGATGAAACGTGTTTAAAAATCGAATCGAATTTTTATTAAATATAGAAAATCTTGAATTTTATTTATAAAAGGAATATTTAACATCCTTTTTTATCCTTTTATCAAATTAAAGTAAAATATAAAAATTTATCGAATCAATTTTTGAAATTATTTTCAAATTATTTCAAATATTTAAAAAAAATTATTATACAGAAAATTTTAGCAGGCCAATTTTGAAAAATTGAAAATTAATTACGTATGAAGATTAATTTCCAAAAATTTCCAATCGTCCTCGAATTAAAACAACACATTCCATCCATAATAAAGTAAAATTTCTACGTTTAATAAAAAAAAAAGATTAATCCGAGTTTCGCAGATGTATCTTTTACCCAAACTTTCATTCCTTGTCAAATTACAAGCCGTATAATGTCCTTTGGTTCACGGAGAACCAGTATTCCGTACTAAAATTAAAACTTGCAATTCTTCGCGTTATCCAACTACACGGAGAGTTGCGAGTAACGAGCTTGTATACCGTGTGTAAACGATACAATGAGCTCGTAAAATCAAAATGGGTGTTAAAGTAAACATGTTTCGGTCATTGGGACCGGATCATTGGCAGAAATACGAGGGCCATAAAAAAAATTTGGACTTCATTTAGAAATCCAGTATCCGATCCGATTTTTCTCATTAATCCTCCGCGTCTCTTTTCTTGTATCTTGGGGTGACATATTTATACGAGCGATTTTTTACCATTCTGATAAAGGAGATACACTATCATTTTACGTGTATGTATCATATAATAATAATTGAATCGTTGATTATCGAGAAATATAATTTTGTAATAATTTTGTTATCGTGAAATAAAGTGCAGCCAGGTATTAAATTAATATCGAATTAAGATCGATAATACAATTTCTATTTTTTATTACTTATTAATTCAAAAATTGTAAATCAAATATTAATTTAATTTAATCCCGATGAAAATGATAAATTTCATTTTTCTCGAATTAATCAATTTTGTTGATTAATTTCGATGTGGGTCAAGATTGAAGATTTTTTTTCATATACCGTTGAAAATTTTTACCTTTGTTTCGGGGAAAGGAATACATTTCGAACCGCCGGTTGGCTGTCGTCTAATTTACGATTACGTTACACATTCACATTTCTCCGGTAGAATGTGACTCGTCATGGTCGAACTATCGCCACGGTCGGCCGGCATGCTTCACGGAACACCACTGTCAATGTGCTCGCCTTGATCTCTCCATACTTTC